TTCTAGTGGCTGGGAAATTTCAATATGTCATTTTTATTTTCAGAAATGTTTTACCCATAAAATTGTCTTTTCCTTCAATAACACGATGAACAATACCATGTTTGTGACAGCAACCCCATTCATATGAAACATCAGCAGAGAAGGATATGGGGATACCGAACAGTATTCAATCTCAAAGTCCTAAAACAATACAAAATTAGAGCAGAGTAACACAGATCCCCAAAACATCAGAGGTGGGATCAGGTGCCATGGAGGAGTGAGTATCCCCTACTGACCGGTCACACCCGCCGTGTGCTCCTTATCATGATCAGGAAATAACGGAAACATCCGTCGTCAATTCAATGTATAAATAATGGACTAACAATTGGTATGAAAAACGTCATTCAGCATTAAATTCAAAAATTAATTGTATTTGCTGACAAGGTCATTGTATCGACCACTGAACTTACGAAATGATGACTTTAATCGAGACTGATGAAATACTTTTTTCATCAACTTGCTTGTCAATAATTTACCTCTTTTTAGAAATTGTTCTTACGTATAACATACTCTTGCGAATCGAATCAGCTGATATATATATACTCCGTATGCAGGTGAATAAGGTATATTGCTGCATAGGTAAGGGAAGTTGACGATAGAAAAGTTTAAGTCATCACGTTTATAATATAGTTTGGTTGTTAGATAACCATTAGCGTCTTTTTCAAGTAAAATATCCAAGTATGAAACAGAAGTGTCAGACTCTGTGGTATTTTCTATCTCAGGCTCACCAATATACAATGCATATCGTATCGATATTACCATTGTTAATTGACAATACGTCGTCAATATATCTAAATGTCGAGTTGAAAGGCACAGCAAGTCTTTTCTTCTTTTCCTCCCTTTCCCGGTCATAGGATTTTCGAGTTTGGGAAACACCCTTTTTTTGCTTGTCTACCTTTACAGGTAAATCAAAGAATTCCCCCCCCCTTTCAAAAATGATCTACCTGGCTGTTATGCACAATCTTTTTATATGCTATATAATACATTCAATTGAATTTACTCTATTTTTGTGGAGAAACCTCATTTTAAAAGGGGCAATGCACACCTATATGAAAAGTCAACAAAAAATGCATTGATTAAAGAAATAAACATTCTTTTGTTTCATATTAACCAATGTTTAGACTCATTTTTTTAACTCTAACACATCGGAAAATTCTAAAAACAGGAGGCCAAGGGGCCACATTGCTCACCTGAGCAACTTACTACGGAAAACCAAAAACTACATGTAGTTCAGTATTGAAAGGTTTAACGTTAAATATATTTTAAAAATTAGTTAAGGGGAAGGGGGTTAAGTATTTAACAAACTTAAATCTACACTTCCTTGGAATGATTTTGTGACACATTATGGTTTTGTTGTTAATAAGATGAAAAAATTTTGTTGATATAGCCTAATTCATTTGTCCACTTTATGGCTTCTCTATTCTCCTGAATTTCAAATCCACATTTTTATGCTTTTAATTATTGATCAATCATCATGATGGCTTTGTGAAGAATTTCAACGATTTTCATCATGAATTTCTATGTAAAACCTAGATCACCATATGTGGCCACACACTTGCCCAATGGGTCATGATTACGCAGCACTGTTATGGTTACAATTGGAAATATCGGCGTTTTTTAAAGATAAAAAATACATACTTCATTTGGTAGGGTGATTATTTTTAGGACTTCACTAATATCAAAAAAGTAATGTAGTTTAAATCTACATGTTCGGAACATTTAGATTTTTCATTTAGACTTGTCACGTGATGTCGATGGCACATGGTTTTAGCAATTAGACTTGCAGTTTAAGGGTCATCAATAAATTCCTATATTGCAAGGGCATAACCAAGTTAAAAATCATAGTTTAATTTAAAATCTTTTTAACACTATATGTAGTTTGTGAAAAGTGCTGCGAACCTGTATAGATTCACTTTTTTGATTGCTAAAATTTAAAATGTTTGACGGCAGGTGGAATATTTTGCTTATCAACTACAATAAAAATAGCTGTAATTAATTTATTTGCAAGATTTCATGAGGTTCGCAGCACTTTTCAAATATGTTAATGCTTCTTGAGTTTGTGTATAAAAAGAACTTACAAGATACATTGAGGGTATGCACTTGCAATAAATCGATTTATTAGGACCATTCAATTTCTATTTCAATGAATTTGCATACAAACACACGACAGGATCACTTGGCTTTAGTAGGTACGGACAGTTTATAAATAAAATTCTAAAAAAAAAAAAATCGCATCCAAGATATGGGCCTTTTATTTAATTGCAATTAATATTTTATTTGAGTACAAAAGACATTTTTCATTGTACAAAATGTGAATTGATCAGCCTCTCACTGTGTACAAACTGCATTTTTTTGCGAGATGACGTCACATTGAGAAGTGCATTGCAATCAATGCATCGTTTAAAAACTGTTGTGTAGGAATACACAAACGACAAAACTGCATGTAATAGCAAATTTGTATATACTAAACAGCTATCCAGTTGTTTGAAATAGAAAAATTATTTTATTATGTGGTATTTTAAAGACCTTATATTGTGTGTGAAGTCACAGTAAACATTTCTCGAACAAATTAGGCCCACCTCCTTACTTCAACCTTAACCGTCCTGCGTAAATCTTCCCTTTCAAAAGATAGTTCTGCATGAGTTTCATCTTTCCTGGTCCTGGCTGATTTTTAAAGATTTTTCCTATGTATTGATATGTTAAACTTTGATAACCTATTGCGGCCCCATCCACTCCGGGGTCAAGATTTGAACAAATTTGAATCATCGCTACCTGAGAATGATTCCACATGAATTTCATCTATCCTTGCCCTGTGACTCTGGAGAAGAAGATTTTTAAAGATTTTTCCTAAGTTTAACTTTGATACCTTATTGTAACCCCACCCTAACCCCGGGGATGTTGTTTTGAACAAACTTGAATCTTCGCTACCTAAGAATGATTCCACATGAGTTTATCTTTCCTGGCCCAGTGATTCCTAAAATTTATAATAGATGCCATTAATTTTTCACTTACTCATAATAATCTCCTTTTGAAAGAGGGGTAACCCTTCATTTGAATAAACTTCAATCTTCTTTACTTAAAGATACTTTGTGGCAAGTCTGGTTGAAATTGTCCCAGTGATTCTTGAGAAGATGATGAAAATGTGAACAGTTAACGACGACATCAACTACGAAAACGACAGATAAGGGACACATTTTGATAAAAAAAATTCAATTGAGCACTCGGCTCGAGTGAGCTAAAATGAATAGAATGTTTAAATCTTGTTATCTTATTACAAATATTTCAAATAATTCACTTTAATTTGAGGCCTTCATACTATGCCTTATTTCTGTACAGTTTGCGAATTATATATACTCTTAGTCTAACATAAATTAAACGTAATCCTGACTAAATGAAATAAATTCATTAAAAAAAACCGAATGGTGGTTAAACAACAAATATCAGACATACAAGTATCCGTCCTTGACCATGTTGGTTTTTATTAGCGACATATGTGTAGCGTATCTCTAATTTACATTCCAAATACGGGGCAGAATGAAACTTCATTTTGTTAAATAAAAATTTATTTTCAAAGAGGGCCATCATTGTAAATATAAGTTCCTACAATTATTTTTTTTACATGTTAAATACAATTTATTTCGTCAATTGTTTGGGTTTTTTCGATTAAATTTGACAACTGACGACATAATTAGGGTACATCAGCGTAACTTGGAAATTGATCTTTTGTTTTAAAAAGAGAATATGGCTATGACAATATGTACAAACACACGTAAAATATAGTTTTGAAGCAATTATTTGAAATTTATCCGGAATTAAGATTTATCAAACAGGCATGGTAATTCATTGTGTTGATTATATTTTATTTCGATTGATTGATTGATTGTATACTGTTTAACGTCCCTCCCCAGAATATTTCACTGATATGGAGACGTTACCATTGCCGGTAAAGGGCTGCAAAATTAGGCCTATGTTTGGCACTTAGGCTTTTGAGCAGGGAGGGATCTTTATCGTGCCACACCTGATGTGACAAGGGGCCTCGGTTGATACGGTCTCATCCAAAGGACCGCCCCATTTAGTCGCCTTTTACGACAAGCAAGGGGTTACTGAGGACCTAGTCTAACCCGGATCTCCACGGGGCTATTTTCTTTCGAAGACTGTCAGCTATGTACACGTATCCAGGTAAACCTTTCCATTGCATTCGTGACTAAAAATGCAAAAGAACGACAGTAAGATGGATATGTCAAAACATGAGATTTGTAAATACTGAAAGCTTGTCTTCTTAAGTACTTGGAAAGTGATGCTAGAATACCGAGTGAAGAATGGTTTCAAGAAAAATCTCGCGTTACAGGAGAAAAAAATTAAAACACTGGGAAAGGTTTCCTTTGAATGAATGGAATATTTTTTTTTTCTTTTTAGGCATAATATATGCTTTTACAACTATATTATTTACTCACGGAAATTATTAAACTCGGGGGTACTGTTGATCTGTAGCTTTAAAATTAAGGAACATTTTGCTATTGATAAAGTCATGTGATGCCTTGGTGCTTGTGCACGTTTTTGCCTGAGACATTATTTTATATTTATGTAATAGTTAATCATGTTTACGTTTTACAAGAAGGATATGGAGATAAAGAACAGTATTCAAGCTCAAAGTCCATAAAACAATACAAAATAAGAGCAAAGCAAACACGGACCCCCGAAACATCAGAGGTTGGATCAGGTGCCACGGAGGAGTGATCAAGCGGCTTTGGCAATTAATTAACATTATTTTTCTTCAGAAAGATTAAATTTCCAAATAAACGATTTAAATGCTTCCTAAACATACCCTTGATCACCCCTCAAAGTGTCGTCTTAATTAAAACAAAAAAAAAATAGAAAAAAATAGTTCTGATTTCATGTCAAATGCTATTATTTGTTCATGCACCTTATAATTTAAATCATTTTGAAAACTTTAACTGCACTAGTTATTTTATTATTCTCTCTCATTGCATTGATGAAACTGGAGCATTTCTTAGATTCGAGGTCCTGAATTCTCTTGTATTTTCTTCGATGTTAAAAAGAATTTCAGTTTGCAAAGCTTGCGTTTCTTGAATAATGTTAAAATACTTCAAGTAAAATGGGGGATCAAGCCTTGTGAATGCATTTAAATCAAGTTTTAAGCTCTCTAGTACAGCTCTAATAGGTGTTATAAATACTTCAAAAGTCGATAGGTTAACAGCGTTGAGAAGTCCTATGCATTGCAATTCGGGGTCTTGGTAATCTTCTACGGTGAAAACAAGTGATCCAGAATCTCCTTGATCAGCAAATTTACCACTGTTGCTTGTAACGACAATTTGGCCGTAATAATTCCTGTAAAAGTATTCACCAGGATCATTTGCTTCAAAATATATTTTGTTAAATGCATTGAAACTTGTCATTTTTCCCTTTGTCCATAACGTTTTTTGTCCATATTTTACTATATCCAATGACGTGTCCAGTTTTAGAATTTCTTTTATTTTTCCAGTAAAATATGGTTTTGAACCCTCTGAAAATCCTATGAAGCAAAAAGTGTGGTATCATTAGAATTCAAGAATATCAATATACCGAAAATCATTGAACAAATTCCAATATTTCTACAATTTTAATTGATGTTAAAAAAAGTTCGTGCTATTAAGCACAATGAAGGCCTCATGGGTTTAATTAAATTTTTATATCTAGGCTTTTTGAGGAGGTGTATCATACAGATATATGTGTCCATAGGATGGTATTACTGAGATGTGAGAATGAACAATATAGGAAAGGTAGCAGTGTAAATTATATAACAATACGCAGAGATTAATAATCATGTTAATAGCATATTGTGATATACACAAATCATATAAATATACAAAGAAAAACATATTCGTCAGATATATTGTTAAAGTCTTATAAGTCTACAAATAAGGAATCGGGGTGAGATATTGGTTAAAGTAAAGGTATTGTTTAGTAATTTGGATATTGATGAGTGAAAAATAAGAGCAAGAATACAATACTTCAATTCTCTTAAGGTGTGGTTTCCGCTAAGATTATTTGAAATTGTGCCTACTTTACCTGCATTAATTACGTTTTCTTGGGGAAGAAAGGTACATGTATCCTTTGGCTTGTGATCATCATGATCGACACTGACAAGTATAGCATCAACTGTTACTCTATTTCGCCAAACTATATGTCCAAAATACCCTCTTTCTAGTTTACCGCATTCTTGCCATTCCTGGGACACCTTTCTTAATATTTTTGTATCTATTTCATTTGGACGATTAAATAGATTTTCATTCAGGAAATGTTTTTGCACTAAGACATGTGCAGCAGTTAAGTAATATACTTTTTTACTTCCGATAAAAACAAATCCTCCTAAGGTTCCCTTGGTCATCCCTGTGTCTGCTTTGATAGTGTCTCCAACGTGAGGAGGACGTGTTGCAGAGGTGGCCGGGCATGATTCACGTACATCCACGGGAAAGCCATGTATGTAAGTAGGGAAAGGTTTTTCACCCATTGGAACTACACCCTTTGTGTGGCATAATATTACAATACACGAAATAGGTTTTAGTTTATGTGGTTTGTCTCCGTTGTAATTCATTGACAAAACAGGAGAGGTTGTTATGCCAGTAATGTTACTATGGGCTTGAAGTAATTGGTCTATGATCGAGTCGTTTATTGTTAAATGTTCATCAAGTTTGTATTTAGCTTCTTCTTGCATAATTGCTCTTGATTCACCATCCGTATCAAACTTTCCTTTGACAAGAACTTCTAGTCCACAGTACGTTGACGGTAAGGTTTCATCTTTTGTTTGTGGAATTCTTTCCCTACGAACGACAATGACAAATTTTTTGCAGCTAGAACGTCTATTTTTAATTCGGTACCCTATCCAAAAAGAGTCATTGCTGAGGCTAAACTCGGAGCGAAAGTTTTGTTCAGCTGCCCTTATAAAGGTTTTCGACAACAGTGTGTCAACCATATACTTACTCTTCAGAAAATATTCAAGTAATCTGTTCGGAATATTGCCTATGTCCCAAATATTTGTTTTATATTCCAAACTGCACTTTTTTGGTTCAAACTCACAAGCAATTGCCATAAGGCTGGATCTATATCGAGTTATTCCTTCATCTGACAATCTAGAGAGATCATCTTTTGATTTTCCAGAAGAGTTACATGCGAAAAAACAAATATCGTGTAGTAACAATTCTTCGATTGACAAAAAATACTTCCCACCACTCTCTACTAATTGATTTGTCAAATGAGCTACGTTGGTGTTAGGGATTCGTAAAAAATTGCCTTTGTATTATCGGAAATTTTTGTATGTTTCTCCTGATTTTCTGTTTTACATATTTGTACGAAATCCTCAAACAGAGAAAAAGACGGATGTTCCCTTATAGCAGTAAAGAGGCGCAAAAACAGCGTATCTAGGAGGACCTCATTTAAGTTGCAAACTTCGCCTTGCACTGCATATTCTATCAAGTTTTTAAAAGGACATATTTTAAGAAATCCTTCTGGATTTTTTACAAAAAGAATTTTGCACAAAATCTTACGGATTCTTCTATCACTGATATATAAGCATCCATCTTTTTTCTCTAGATAAATACCAACAAATGACTCTGCAATTTTTTGTTGGATCAGGAAATCATTGCAAAATGGATCCGAAGGAAACCTGTGAAAGTCTGTTGGATATTGGAATCTCAAACCTGGATTCAGTAACACTGTAGACAAACAAGAAAAACAATTCCCCTCCATGTCGTTTATGTGATTGAATATGTCCTCGTCCTCGGTCTTTATATCCAACTTCCCAGTAAAATCGACGACCAAGCTTTTTTGTAGAAACTCCTCTTTCTTTCGCCAGGTTTGAAGGTAATTTAGAACTTCTTTTTCCATTGATATTATAAGAGTATTATTCTCTGTCCAGTTATCGAGTAATTGCATTAATTTGTTAAGACTTAATATACTTCTTTTGAGGGTTTCCGTTGATGTTATTTGATCAAATAATCTGTCTACAAGTATTGCCATTCTGATGTCAGGTAAAACTTTAATTAACTCAAGTTCACTAATATTTGAAACACCGAAGGGAGTTGCATCTTTCATAATTCTTAATCGTTCAAACAATAACAAACTTGCACGAGATTTACCCATTCCAATTATGCCGGTTACGACGAATACCGATTTTCTGTTTTGTTTCAGTATTTCATGAAAATAGCTATTTATCATGTTCTTTTGATTTGAGGATCTAGCAGATTCCGCTCGCAGTTGGTTGAATGCATGGACTGTTATAAAACAATGAGTGAATTCTTACAAGAAGAACATAGTCACTCAGCTAAAATGTACTCATTTATCAACAAAAAAAAAATCTTTGCACATACAATATGTTAAATGAATGCTAAGGACTGTACACCCATTTGTTAGCCTGCTATTTTCAACAATGTTTTCATAAACAGGTTGGGGCGAAACGTAAATTCCGCTATAATAGTGGTATTTCACTATTATAGTGAAATTACGCTATATTTCCCGCCGCAAGCAAATATGTATGTATTTAAAAGAAAATACTCGTCGATTTTGATTTTTGTTTAAAGTTTCAATACATACATAAGTACAATAAATATATTCGAAAAGTAATTGTTACAAACATTACAGAACAGCAGGTCGATTCATCAGTAGTCATATTCAAAATAAATCGATTCTTACACAAAAGTCGCACGTTTTTCATACACTTCTCGCACGCTCACATCATTGTTTGCAGGAAACGCTTTGAAGCTTACATTGCTTAATATTTTGCGCGAAAAGCTAATCAGTTTACACGAAACGCTACACGGTTTGGACGAAACGAAAATCGCAGGAAAGAGAAATTTTCTTTTTGGGTGGGGGTTGGGATAGTAACATATTTCGGGGTTTGTATTTATTTGGATGAGTGAGATTGTTCAAAGGTAAACGTACCTAATTGCGGAATCAAGAATTGGAATCCAGTCTCCTCCAACATTTTTTTGCTTCTTTTTATGTCCTTGGCGTTGATATCAGACATTTGACCTGTGTGCGATGGAAATTGGAACCACCGATTGTTGTTGATTGGAAGCTTTATAGAGCTCCCGAGCACTGAAAAAAATCTCTTAAAATTTTATGACTGAAGACTCTTTAAGGCTTTTACGATTGTAAATGTGTGGAACAATTATTTTAGCATTCTGGCAGCAAAAAAGCTTTTTTCGTTTATATTATTTACTCAAAAAATAATTAGACTACGGGTTATTGCTGTTTTGTTAGCTTTTCCTTAAAGAACATTTCGCTAATAATAGAAGTCACGTGATGGCGTGGTGTTCATGCACGTCTTTTTGTTATACACTGTTTTATCTTTATGCAAACGTTAATAATAATTTACGTTTATCTTTAGTTTTGGTAAATTATCAAGCTTAATTTTCTTTAAAAAGTCTGAATTTCCCGAGAAATGCTTTATATGCTTTCTTAACATACCCGTGTTCTGCAGTAGGATTGTCTATCCTGTTGATTTCATCTAATACATGTATGAGTGGTTTTATGTTTAAGGGCTGTTTGTTGTTTTAATGCAATTTGTCTTTGAATATAAGAATGAAAGAATTGGATACAAATACCTTTTGTAACATGGGTTTTCTTCGAAGCATCGGAAACACAGTATCCTTCATCTGCATCTGAGTCAGATTCCTCCGAGACACTTCTTGATTCATCATCGTTTTTAGTCTGATGCTCATTTTTCATAAAAAAGCGAAGGAACGACATACCAAATCCCATAGCGATGAATGAAAGAGTTCTAAAAAGTTAAATCAACATTGTAACTTACATTGTGCACTTTAATTGTCTAATCCTCTCACTCTTGCTCCTTTTTTTTCTATACCGAATCCTATTAAGGAAAGAAATGGAGATACATATTCACAAAAAATATGTACATGTACTTACCTATTAAACCTTATGATAAGTCTATGCCTTATAAATGTTGCCTTATTATCATTAGCAGTGAATTCATTGGAACTGTTCCAGCATTTTACAGCATATTTGGAAATCAGTTAAGTTTTCAATAAAACAAGGTAACAATTGATTATTAACAAATTGCACCAAAATAACATACTAGTTATTCCCCAGTATGATGTGACCCCACTCAAAATATCCTTTCCATAGATCAAATCATGTCTGGTATCTTTAATTATTTTCCCTCCACGTTTCCTTGTTTATGCGGAAATAGATAAAACAATTTTTTTAATACAGCATACTGAAAAAAAACACACGGTAAACTTCTTTAGTGATTAAAGATTTTTCCTCGAAAGTAATGATCAGCATTTTTATATTACAATAATGAATTTATCTGTAACTTCTAAATTATTATAATATTATTTGATTTTGACTTATATTTCACAAGTTATTAATATTTATATCATGGTACCTCCAATGATGCAAAATAAAAAAAAAAAGTTTTTAAGGCTTTGGCATTAATGTTTATGCAGGCGCCCACCTCGACCATTACAAGTGTAGTTAAACTATTGCCCTGGTCATCTCCCCATTTTCCACGCAAAAAAAAATGTTAGTGCAACCTTCATCAGCCACCAACTATTTTCAATGAAATATATGCTTGTTTTTGTTTGTCTCTTGGAATTAGTATTTACAATGTGAGTATATAAGCCGAAGCATATCAAAGCAGTATCGTGGGAAAATTATGAAATTAATTATTCAAACACTTAATGTCTATGTTTAACGTTAATTTTGCTATGCTTGTACAAGTTACACATCATTAAAGCACTAGAAATAAACACGGCACTTTTCTCTTGAATTAGATTTACAGGAAATATATGCGAAATCCTATGCACATGGTATTAACTTTCGAAAATAAAATAGGTATTTTTAATACTGAGAATCATTTCTCTTGTCTTGTTAGTAAAAATATACTCACAGGAATTCACTTTATTGACACAGAAACTCGATTTTAAATGTCGGAGATACATGAATATTACTGTGACATACAGAAAAAAAAGAAAAATCGTCGATCCTTTTTTATGACAAATTCTTTTGAAATTCAATGAGGAAAAACTTAAATGATTTTTTTTCTTATCGTTCCTGTAACAATCAATAGTTTTTAGTTTAATTCTTTATATACACACAAAGGAACACCTTTTTATATACACACTGAAGCTGATATTAAACAGAAGCTTGATTTTCTGATTGACAATATTTATGAGTTTTTTGAGATCAGGCCCCAAGACCATAAACTGAGAATAGGCTTAAATCAAAACTATGATTTTGAGTGGCTTGAGATTTATGATACATACAAATTTAAAGATTTGTAGGTTAGCACAATATTCCAATCTTTACATATGGTAAAAAATTGTTTTGTTATCAAAACTATTTTAAAAGTTATATAGTTTTGAAATTTTGACTTAAGTCTGTTCTCGGTTTATGGTCTTTATGTGTTACCGCTGAATTGTAAGCAATATCCTTTCTTGTGATCTGGGTCCGCCTTCATAAAACTTTGAGTATTCTCAAAAAAAATTCTCAACTCAACTCTTTGAGTATTACTCAGCCGGGAATTTGAGAATAAAAGACATATAGTATTTTTATTTTTCTCATTTTTTTATGACGGCTGTTGAGTCTGAGAATTTTGGATTTGAGAAAATTCTTAGACTTGAGAGCATTCTCAGACTTAAGTATGTTTTATAACAGCGGACCCTGAACACCTCAACATATTGTATAAATTGTATCTAAGTTTAAAATACTATTTACAAGGGTTGTCCGTAAAGTTCGTGGACAAGCTATAATTTAGATAAAAATGGTGTCATTGATATGTTTATTACCATATTTTTAATCTTTTACCGTTTATGGACCATGTTTTCCAACAATCAATTGGAATTTCTATAGGTAACAATTGCACATTGTTATTATTTGTGTTAAAAATTTTATACGTGAAAAGAAGGATTCACTTGTTGATGTTTTCAACTAAACTTGTACATGTAGATATATCGATGACGTATTGTCAATTAATTAACAATCGTTACTGTTAACCATTTTTATTGCGACGACTTTATTTTGCAATTTACGGCGTGTACGAGGGCTGTTCAATAAATAATGTCCTCGGTGTTCAGAAAGAAGCAAAAAACGCTTTTCAATTATTTATTCTTCGTGATTTTACCAATTAATCTCTTTTAAGTAAAGTACATGTCGGTAACATTTTTTATCCAATTTCTGATCGATTGTAGAACTCATTTTTGGGTATGACCCTTAGTATACTGGAAAATGGCAGATCCAATGACTTCCCGAACTTGTTTCTTCCTTCTGAAAGGTGTTTTTTTCCAAGTTTGGAAATAGAAAGAAGTCAAAAGGTGACAGATCTGGCGAATATTGTTAATGTGAAAAAATATTAACTTTCTGTTTATCCCGAAAATCTCTTAACTCTTCAGGGCATGCGGGTTTGGACGCTGTCTTGAAGAAATTCAATGTAGTGGATTCCTGATAATAGGTCCTTCATCTAATAAAACTTTTGATTTTTTGGCCAAAAAGTGCTTTTTAGACTCCTCAAGAAATTAAACTGTCTCTAAAATTACGATTTTGAACAACAATACCACTATTGTTTAAGAAAATTACATATAAATCTGTCTTTGTGCTCTTGCATACCTGTGCACTTGTCAGACATTCGCCGTTTTTATCAAGTACATCTTATGGTAAATTTTGTTTTTAGGGTTTTAAGCAATAGATTCAAGTTTCAATATCTGTTTGAAAATCAAACAAACGTGGATAACTACAATTACTGATATTTTAAAATAATTGTTAAGACTTTCGTATACACTATCGTTTTCACTCATTTTTCAAAATATAGGGTGACCTTTGAGTACTAAGCTTTTTTTTTACCGTCAAACGTATCTTAAATACAGTGTAAACTACCCCCGATGTGATGTCTATCAAATTTGCTATGTGTCTTAAAATCAATCATACATCATCAAATATTATTTGTTGAAATTTGGCGAACAGTACATAGGTTGTTATAATTTTTGTTGGCAAGGAGAGTACCCATTTTCGATGCCCATTATATAATTTTTCATTATTGAAATCCGCCTGCTCTTTTGTCTATAAAACAGGCATTGTTTGCTGTAAATGTCACATATTTCAATAAATATTTCTTTGGGATTTTAACAAGTTTTACGGCAGCTTTAACGAAGCTTTTATTTTCACTCTAGTTTACTGATTCTTTACCATTCATTTATAATGCAGTGTTTCGAAAAGCCCTTGTTTCCCAGCTCCTCACGATGAAACTATGTGATGAAAAGTGGTCACATAAGCTGTTATTAATTCATGGAAGATTCAATAATGAGAGAAAGTCAAGTTTAATGTCATATGATATCTGTAATGTATGTCATATAGTTCAGGACATTATTTATTGAACAGCCCTCGTAATTTAGTTAACAACGATGGATTTTCAAGATAAAGCTTTTCTTTATTATGTTATTACATGTAAAAGGCTCAATTGAGCTTTCCTTTTCAAAATTTGTCCCTTGTTTGTCGCCGTTAACGTTATCGTAAACTTTTTACATTTTCATCTTCTTCTCAAGAACCACTGAGCCAATTTCACCCAAACTGGTATCTTTGAGTGAATACAGGTTTGTACAAATGAAGGGACAAACCCTCTTCTAGGGGAGATAATTATGAATTAATGAAAATTAATGGTATTGTGGTAGACCAAATTTACTATTATAATTTATCTTATATATTTATTCGTTTTGGAATCATTCTATTTTTCGTTTCATCTAAAGTACTCTTAAATATTTTTTATCTTCAATTTCATTGGCTCATTTGATATTATCCAATAGTTTTAATTTACCTTGAGTATAAGTAACCGTTAAAACTAATCAAAATTGGGCAGTATTACATTTTTAAAGAAGAAATTATATCCAGCCGATATCAGATGCATCTTGTGGTCAATGTCTTTATTCTAATTCTTCAATAAATAAAATGGATACCAACATCTGAGTCATCATTTGCCATTAACTGCTCGGTTACATCATGGCGCTGCGAGAAAAAACATCATCTACAGACATTGACCACCGTAGGAATTTAATTTCCAAAGATATCAGAAAATGCAGCTAAGTTTATTTCACTTCGTGATATCAGCCATTTAAATGTTCGACGCTATTATTGTGACAAAGAAATTTCACATTGAGTACTTTTCATGCACCAACGGCTTACTATAGATTGAGAGAATTCCACTGTGAGTACTATTCACCGTTACCTGTGTCATTCACCTGTGTCTAAATCATGAGGAAAGCAGAACTGCAACACCGTGTGCGTGAACTAGAAATGGAACTACAAGAAGCGAAAATCAACTCACATTCAAAAACCATTATTGAGAAACAAACTTTTCTACCAGAAACAAGAAAAATCAAGACATTTTCTGGACGGCCAAAATCGAAATCTGACATTTCGATTCACGACTGGATTGACGACCTTGACATTGCATTTTCGGCAAGGAAATACACTGATCTACAGAAAGTTGATTTGATTTATTCCCACTTAGAGGGCCAAGCGAAAGAAGAAATAAAATTCCGACTAGAAATTCGACAGGATCCATATGCTATATTAGACTGTCTCCGATCAGCATTTTGTAACCAAGAATCCGTCACTTTACTACAACAGAAGTTTTTTGAAAGAAATCAGCAAGATTCAGAAACAATTCGACACTATTCATACGCACTGTTGGATTTATACCAAATCGTACTCAGAAAAGACAAAAGTGTATTTCCAAATAAACAACTTACTCTGTGTGAAAAATTTGCTAATGGACTTAAGGATCCGTTTCTTAGGAAAGAAGCAAAGAAATTACTACGGAATAACCCTACAGAATTTCACACTTTTCACACTTTCAGAGATGAAATCATATTGTTCAGTGAAGAAGAGGAAACAACAGAAAATAGAGCAGCTGCGCAAGTACACCAGCCGAACACTATCGAGGATCAACAAAATTTAAATTCCCATTCATCCGATTCGCCTAACACAGAACAGTTATACAAAATCATTGAAGCGCAACAAAAGCAAATAGATTATCTCACAAGTATGATCAGAGATCGAGAAGCCGGTCAACAAGCAAAGGAAAGTCGAAACTATATATTCACGTCCTCCACCTGTGTGTTTTGAGTGCGGAAAAGTTGGCCACATCAAAAGAAATTGTAGATCTAAACTCCGGGAAACAGCAACCAAAACGTCGGAAAACATGTAACATCTATTGGAGCGAGTCCGGCAATAGATGACAGTCAGCAGGACTCATCGTTTATTCATCGTGTTATTGGAAAGTGTCCTGTGATTGATATTTGTATATGTAATGTTAAAATACCATGTTTAGTGGATACCGGTTCTATGGTGTCAACATTAACAGAAAGTTTTTACAATGAATTCATTCTACCTCTAGGAACAACTCTCATCAAAAACAATGTTATTCAACTCAAAGCTGCCAACGGACTTGACATACCGTATACACTGTATACAAAGTGCTAATCGAAAATCAACTTGATTTGGATCACTAGCTATTTTTGTTTGGGTCATTCGAAGTTTCTGTCTGCACATTTAGACAAAAATGTCTTTTATATACGGTTTTTTAGTAATAATAAAACTACTTCAACCAATATGAAACTTCTTCTTGGTATATTTAAAGATTATTAGGTTTTTGTGTCACCCACCCTTCCTTAAACATCAGTAGCACGCGTTTTTCACGAATCTGGTGGTCATTTTTCGACTAATTAGCCACTTATATGGACTCTTGACATTACTTCAATAAAACATTTATTGTTTTGTTTAATATAAGTCCTTATCAAACGTTAGCTATCAAATTTGACCACAAGGTCTTCGTTATATCTTGACAATCACATTAAATATGTACCTACCCAACTTTTCCGGAGCTACTTTTGGTTTGCGTAGAAAATATCCAGAAGGCTATCTTTGTTGTCATGACAGCTATACTTTTTTCGAGTACACATATAGCAGTTAGCCTAGTGCAATTAGTGAAATAATTTATTGACGTTACCTTGTGTTTACAACAGTCTTGTACAATATTTTCTTCCCCAGACTATTCTTACATTTCAAATCTGGCCCAGTCCATAGGAGGTCCATGTGTCACAATTTTAAAGATCAATTTCAACTCTTTGACTTGATATATACACACAGTTTTGTAAATATAAGTGGTATATATATGCATTCAAAGTTTTGATAAGAAAACACAATGATTAAAACGCATTGAGCTTCAAATCTTAATGCCGCTTACAAATTTCAATTCAGCCAAATAAGCGTCAAGAAGAGATTGCATGGGATATTAAAAAATGTTTTCATGAAATAAAAAGAGAACAATCGGGTACCACATCTCTTGAAGAAATGCATGGATCTTTTTACATAAAAATTAAAGCATATCACTGATAATCAATTATTTTTCGTAACTATATATTTTTTGAATTTCTTTAATTTTCATAGACTCTGTTTCAGATTCTTAGCTTTAAGTTCTGATATCTGATGATAGTGTGAAAATAGGTTAAATATTACTTAAGTTGCATTTTAATCTCGTTATCATAGATTTATAAAAGAGAGAGAGAAAGTGTATAAGGCGAGGACAATCACCTGCTCTATGACGAAAATGTTTGATTTTTCTACTATTATGTTGTCGGTAATGTCATCTTCAACATATTTGATTCATATAATAGTATTGTACTGTAAGAAATGTTGATTGAGAATTGTTTTTTAAAATTATTTAGTGGTAAATGAGTACGTTAATATTAAACGATTCCAGCCATAAGAATTTATTTCTGAATATGAATGGGTCAGGTTTCTATCCTATGTTTTGTGCTTATTTTACGGAAAAGTAAACCCACCGTGTTTTTTCTAAATGGAGTCTGGGCCCATTCTATTTAAAAGTCGAATATTTCTGGAATGTTAAAAAAGTGAGGATAATGAGCATTGATTTATGTCGAAAAATTTACAAATACAAATATGTGAGCAGGGCATAAATACGGACCCCACAGAATACCAGAGATGGGAACAGGTGCGTAGGAGTAAGTATCCCTTGTTGATCGGTCACATCCGCTGTGAGCCCTATGTGTTGATCAAGTAAACAGAGCATTTCGCGAACAAATTTAGTATAAAAACAAAAGTTTAACAGTTGGGTGAAAGAAGCCAAAAAAAACCGAACCAGGATAAATGAAATAATAAGTGGAAAAATATTTTTTGTCTCAAAAATTCATTTTTTTAAAAAGCAAACTGACACACAACCAACAAGAAGAAACCGAAGCGTATAGTGGTTAACGTGTAGACGTTGATTTTAATCACAACGAGAGTAAGATGGGTTCTATATCACCAATGTATTTATTCAGGTCGTGTTGTTTACAAACAAACAAAAGGTTCTGTAAATAAAATATTTAACAAAAAATTCACAGACAAACACACATACACAAACATATCATAAAACACTGAATATTCTGCTCAAGGAAATAATTCCATTTTCCTTATAACTTTCAAAGATCATAAATATCTTTTCATGCATTATATTATATGCAAATTCATTACCATAAAATAATTCACTTTTCTCTATAAGCATCTCTATTCATTGTATCCAAAGAAATTCTATTTACAACACAAATAGACATCACAATATACACAAACTTCACTAGACACAAATCTTACCAAATATATGGTATATGAACCTGATCTGTAAACCGGGTATTCCCTTCACAGTCAGTCATAGCTATAATAAATTATCACAAAGTAAGTCTGACTGATTATTAACAAAATATATAAAACTCATGAAAAATAACTCTTTACTCAAATCTCATTCACATAACTTTCACACTGCATGCTCATAATTAATAATGTTAAGAATGTTAATAAACTGACCTGTTTAGTATATTGTCCAATGTCCATAAGGTCTAATTCAGAATAGTCAAAACTGTAGAAATCAATAAATTGTTCTAGAGACAGTTAACACACTGCTCAATTCAAGGATCTTTTTTAAAGTGTCTAAAAATACTTCAGTAGTAAAGTTCTTACCAGAGTATCCAATCAAATACCTGGGTTCATCCATGCATGAATAGCATGCTTGACCAAAATGGGATATACTATGGAAAAGCCTTAGTGTAATAAATATATACAAACGCTCTTTCTTAATACTAAGTATGGAAGTACATTATGGACAAAAATTAAAAACAATAACTCAAATGGTTTTTTTATTTAGTAATACTTTTATTGATAAAAACACGCGGTCACATTCTTTCCCTGCTGCGAAAAATGTTGTCCTCAACATTCGACTTTCAATCGGATATCTACAAGGAAAGAATATATTAAGTTATAAAAACAGAATAAAATAATATTGTAATTCAAGCATAAAATAATAGTTACTATGGACTTCTGACTGACTAAACTACTCATCTAATATAACATTAATCATGGCTTGTGATAAATCCTTCTTGTCAAATCCTTCAAATATTTCTGTATCTGCCAGTGCTAATAAAGTGTCTATTTTGATCTTCCATTCAGGTTGTTGACTGTTGGTTGTTACTTGGTTGTTGATGGTAAATTCTCCGGTGGTCATCCATTTGGGTCTTTTTCTGGGTCTTAATGGTCTCAGTGGTCTTAAAGGTGCACTTGCATCTCCTGTCGCTCTTGTCTCCTCAGTTTCTCTGTGTTCTGTCTCTTCTTCATTGGTCACTACCGGTAGTGTTTCCTTAGGTTCAGTATGATGAACTTCTGATTCTGTCTGATCACTGGAATCTTCAATCTCTTGTACTCTGTCTTCCTGACTTGTACTGTGCTCGAGCTCTCTTCTTCCTGCATCTTGCATTCCGTGACCTTGTCCTTGGTTTTCTATCATAGTAGAACTATCTGTCCTTTGTCTTGTTTGTGATTTCTGGGTATCAGCTGTACCGGTGTTGTGTTTTACAACCACTACTGATTCCGTCACAAATTCATCCTCTGACTCACTACTGTCACTCTCTGTTTGTTGTTTCTGTTGTTTAGAAGCTCTGGTTTTGATTCGGCGTGGTGCTGGTTTTGGCTTCAACAATTCTTGCTCTGGGGTGTCAATATTCTGGAATGGTAACAGTAAATTTCTGTGTAATGTTCTTGTTCTTTCTCCATTACTGACTATGAATACTGGGATGGATGGGTTAGGTTGGTCTACTACATCATATGGTGTTTCTTCCCATTTATCGGACAGTTTGTGTTTTCCTTCGAATGCGACTCTCTTTACTGAAACTTTATCTCCTGGTCTTATTTCTGCGTTTCTGGCTTTTAGGTCATATTGATGTTTCTGTTTCTGTTGTGACTTCTCGATAAACTGCTCAGCAACTCTGTAAGATTCCTTTAAGTTTGTTTTCAGGTTCTCAATGTACTGATCCATTGTACTGTCTTCTGAAGAATCGGGTAAGCCAAAAATGACGTCTGCTGGTAATTTTGGTTCTCTGCCGAACATTAAGTAGAAAGGTGAAAATCCTGTAGAGTCCTGTCTTGTTGAATTGTAAGCATGCACTATTGATGAGATGTAAGTTTTCCAGTCTGCTTTTTGAGTTGTTTCCAGAGTTCCTAACATTTTAAGTAGTGTTCTATTGAATCGTTCGCAAACTCCATTCCCCATTGGGTGATATGGTGTTGTCCTGCTTTTCTTGATGTCCATAATTTTACAAAGTTCCGAAATGATCTGTGATTCAAATTGAGGTCCTTGGTCGCTATGAATTTTGTTTGGGATTCCGTAGTGAAGAATAAAATGTTGAAATAAAGTTTCTGCGGTGGTTTTGGCTGTTTGATTCTTTGTCGGGATGGCTTGTGCAAATCTGGTGAAATGGTCAGTGATTACGAGTATGCTGTTGTATCCTCCTTTCGATGTTTCAAGGGTAAGGTAATCCATGCACAGAATTTCTAATGGGTGGTGAGATGTTATGTTCACTAATGGGACTCTTTCTGTTGTGGATTTCCTCAAGATACATCTTTTGCAGTTCCTTATGAAATACTCGATGTCGTTTCCCATGCCTCTCCAGCAAAACCTGTCTCTTATCAGAGCATTCGTTTTGTCTCGTCCTGGATGACCCATGTTGGTATGAAGTAGTTTCAATGCCAGTCTGGTACATGAGTGAGGTAAAATAGTTTGAACTTTCCTCCTGTTGTTTTCTGCTGTTTGTTTAACTAAAATGCCATCTTGGATCTTGAGTCTTTCAAAATTTCTGTGGAAAAATAGATGGTCTTTATAATTCGTCATTGGAAGTTGAAATTTCTGTGGTTTGGTCTGATATCTTACGTTGTGGTACCAAAATCTGATGACTGGGTCTCTGCATTGTTGTTGTTTGATATCAATTTCTGAATGGTCTGGAAGTGTTGGTAGATTGTTGTCTATGACTTCAGGTGAAACGGAAATTGATTCTATCAGTGAAACTTGATTCATATTGGAGATGGCTTTAATCGTATCAGTTGGAATTCTCGATAATCCATCAGCATCAGCATTCTGAGATCCTGGTCTGTAGTAGATATCGAATTCAAAATTGTATAGTGCCGCAATCCAGCGTTGACTAGTGGCTTCCAGTTTAGCTGATGAGAGAACATAAGTCAATGGGTTGTTATCAGTTATAACGGTGAACTTATTTCCGTACAGATAGTCATGAAACTTCTCGGTGATGGCCCATTTGACAGCTAAAAACTCGAGTTTGTGTACTGGATAGTTTCTTTCTGATTTTGATAGTCCTCTGCTGGCATAAGCAATTACTCTCTTGTTGTTGTCCTGAGTTTGGTAAAGTACGGCTCCTAAGCTGATAGCAGATGCATCCGTGTGTAGTTCACACGGTAATGAAAAATCTGGCTATCCAAGTATTGGGTAAGATGTCAATTTCTGTTTCAAAATTCTGAATGATTCTTCTTGATCTTTGTTCCATTTCCATTTAGTGGGTAGTTCTTGTGATGTTCCTTTTCTCTTAGCTTTTCTGTTTCCTTCTGGCATAAGGTCTGTGAGGGGTTTCGCTATCTTTGAGAATCCTTCAATAAATCTTCTATAGTACCCCACGAATCCTAAGAATTGTCGTACTTGGTCTGGGTTTTGTGGTGTTGGCCAATCTATTACCTTCTTGATCTTGTCAGGGTCTGGTTCTATGCCATTTTCTGATATGATGTTCCCTATGTACTTCACTTTCCTTCTGAAAAATTCACATTTCTTGGTGGCTAATTTCAGGTTTACCTCCCTTAGTCTTTCGAATACTTTTTCTAATCTGTCAAGGTGTTCTTCATATGTTTTGGAAAAGATGATCAAATCGTCTAAGTAGATGTAACAAATTTCTAGATGTAATCCTTCAAAACAGTCTTCCATCAATCTTTGATATGTTGCTGGTGCATTTACTAGTCCAAAAGGGAGTCGATTAAATTCGAAAAATCCAAGCGGGCCAACAGTAAAAGCTGTCCTTTCCTTATGTTTTTCAAATAGTTCGACCTGGTGGTATCCGCTTTTCATATCCAGAATGGTGAAATACTTATTACCTGCTAATGCATCCAGGATTTCCTCAGTTCTTGACAGTGCATAAGAATCTTTCTTGGTCTTGAGATTAAGCTGGCGATAGTCAATGCACATGCGCAACTGGCCGTTCTTTTTCCTGCATAGCACAACATTGCTGGACCATGGAGACTTGGATCTTCTGATTATTCCAGCTGAAAGTAATTGATCTAGATGTTGTCTCACTTCTTTGAACATTGATGGTGGAATTCGACGAGCTTTCTGTTTGAATGGTTCAGGATCCAGAAGTTCAATTTGATGTTTAACTAATGTTGAACGGCCAATATCTGTGTCAGATTTTGAAAAGATGTCAGAGTATTTGTTGATTAAGTTCTGTCCTTCTTGAATCTGATTCCATGTTAAGTTGTTTTCATCAATGTTGAGCATCTGTGTCCAGTCATTGTCTTCTGTGGTGTTGGTAGACAAACAATGTTGTTCATTCTCAATCGTAACAGGCTGCAGTTCGCATAAGATTGACTTTGGTTGAACACTGACGGTACGAGTCGTTATGTTGTCAATGTAGACTTTCACAAGATTCCTCATCGGATATTGGTAGTTGATAATGGTTGGTGCAATTTCTAAGTCAGATGGGATTACTGATGTTTTTGTTGGTTGTAGTAAGGCTGCTGTGGGTTGATGAGACATTGCCTTGTCTACCTAGCCTGTCAAAGTCATGCTGGTATTGGGAGGGATGAGGAAACATTTGTTTTCGGCTGATTTTATAATTCCAATTCTGTTGTTGTTTCTTTTTAAATCTTTCTGCAGTGAAACCATGCTTCGGAATGTTAAATACCATGGTGTATGTAGTCGAGCTCTTTGAAGAAAATTTTGACCATGTTGTACCTGTAAGTCATTGAGTAGATGGTGAAGAATGTTGGTACCAAGTAGTATAGGAACATTTCTGTTGTAGTTGTTGTCTGGTACTACGAGTAAAAGGAAATATGTCGAGTTGTTAGAATGTGGTAGTCCTTTTGCTGACATAGTAACTTCAATGTATCCATGGTATGGGAGCTGTTCTCCATTAGCACATTCTATAGAAACAAAGTCTGAGATAGGATGCAGTTGTAAATGTCCTAAATGTTCTCTATAAAATGTTTCACTAACTGTTGACACGGTGGAGCCAGTATCTAAAAGTGCTTTGGTGATTTGATTCTCAATCTGTATCTCAACCTCTGTTGTTTCTCCCACTACATAAGTGTCAGTTATGGGGCTCCTCGACGGTAGACCGGACGTGTGCCCCTTGACGGCGGTCTGCTGTAGTTTAAATGTCGGCGATGGTCAAGAAGTACCCTACAGCCCTGTGCTATATGTCCATACTGTCCACATCTAAAGCACTGTATATCCGATCTCCTCTGGCCTCTTCCTTGATACTGATAGTATTGTCGATTATCATATCTCTCTCCGTACTGTGCAGTTTGTTCATACTCATATCTCTTTCCATCTGTACTTCTGTTTACATCTGTATTCACTGGTTTATCTTTTCTATTCCCAGCATAGCCCTGTGGGGATCCGGGTTAGAATAGGTCCTCAGTACCCCTTGCTTGTCGTAAAAGGCGACTAAATGGGGCGGTCCTTCGGATGAGACCGTATAAACCGAGGCCCCGTGTCACAGCAGGTGTGGCACGATAAAGATCCCTCCCTGCTCAAAGGCCCTGAGTGCCGAGCATAGGCCTAAATTTGCAGCCCTTCACCGGCAATGGTGACGTCTCCATATCAGTGAAATATTCTGGAGAGGGACGTTAAACAGTATATAATCAATCAATCAATCTTTTCCGTTTCCATCTTTTTTAATCTCGCATTCATCTGCTGAACTAATCCCTTAAGGTCTGAATCACTTTCATCCTCACGATTGTCTTGATCCTGATAATTCGCAGCAATAGCCATTGCTGTTGTTGTTGTTTTACGATTCTCATGTTCCTTCTCTAAGAGTCTAACTTCCTTTCTGAGATCATCAAAGTCCTTTATGGTATCATATTTATATCCGGTTATGTCCTTTAGCCATTGTTGTAATCCGTTCCAAAATCTTGATCGAAGTTTTTCATTTCTCTCACTTTCCTGAACTATTCCCTTCATCAAAGCCTTCCTGAAAATTTCTTCGAGTCTACAACTCCACACGATGCTATCTTCGCCCTTCTTTTGACTTGTTCTATAAAATTCTTCCATGATGTTTTCTCCTCTTTCCACACTTCCAAATATATTATCGAGTTTATGTAACATCTGTTGGACTGATGCATCTGGGCCAAGCTGCATAATGGCTTTGCTTGCTTCACTTCGTAGTGATCTTCTAATGGCTTGCGCTATTGTTGCTTCACTGTATTGTGCTTTTATCAGACATTCCACCTCATAATGCCATACGTCATAGTTGCCTTCCTTCCTTCCATCTCCCATGAACACTGTTATTTTTGGAACATAATTTGAGTTGGAAATAGTTGTTGTTTTGGTGGTGGATGTTGTCGCTGTTGAGCTTGTGGTGCTATCTGTCTCTGTTTTCACAGGCATGTTTGCGACGTAGCTTTTCATCCAGTCTGTAAAGTCCTTAGTGGTGTCGGCTTTCGGTTTGACTTTTAAATCCTTGAATGCCTTTGCGATGTATTCAAGTTCATCCGTAGTGAATTCGACTGACATGTTTGTTGATTTCTTGTACCATACTTGAGTAAACCTATACACTAGTTCTTAATTGCTAATCTTAACTAAGATACTAATCTAATGATAAGTAAATATCTAATAAACTAACTTAATTAAACCTGAAAAAGAATTATAAGAATTATCCTGAAAAAAAAATAATGTGATTTAAATCTAATTTAACTACATAATTCTAATCCAATCTCTTAACTAAGACTTTCTAAACTAAATATCAAACCTCTTAAGCTGTAGTTGTAATCTTCGGATGGCAACGTCAAAATGCACGAAATAACGCGAAGTACAAACAATATAAATTCAAATATCAAATGATAATATGGGATCAGGAAATTGTTTTCAAATTCAAATATGCTCAGTGGTTTACACCAATATAATCAATCTGAATCAAGTTGTTTAAAGAAGAAGCAATCAAAGACAGACAAACTTCTGCAGGAATGTACCAGGATCTTTTGACTACAAACAAATGTTTTGATCAGATGAAAATACAACTAACTTATCCACAGACTCAAAGTCTCAATACCAACTGACAACAACAGACATTTTGATCAGATAAGTGTAGTAGGTCTTACTGTCATAAAGGTTTTGTCAATTAATAAAGTTTAGTGGTTAATATTTACCTTAACCTCTTGTTAATCTGAAATATCTTTCACACTTCCTGATCTGTGACTCTTTCTTCAAAAATATATATCAAGCAGTGTCAAAATGGAGGCACAAACAATGGTGGTGACGATCGAGGTGATGTCAATGCAAAAATAAATAAATAAACATATGAATAAATAGCATGTATCAAGACAAGCAGAAGTGTAAAAATTTTATAAGACTGTCAAGAGATCAGTTGATTGATGATGCACAAACATAATTCAATATTAAATGACAAATAAATACTGACAGTTCAATTCACAAAAGTGATCAATGTCACTATGGTTAAATGTTCAGAAAATGTCTTTCTTAAAGTTCATTCACAGTCAAGTTCCTTGCTGTATGTAGAAATTTAAACAATTTTACCGACACATGTAAATAGAAGCCATGATGGTTGGAAAATTCTGTAGTTCGAACCCGATGATATTTAATGTCGCTCTATGTCGTGGCGGATCCAACAGGCACGTGATCACTTCCCACCCCGGATACGTCACTGCGTAGCAGCTATTGGTGATGTCCAGGATACGTGGGCGCCATTTGTAGACATTGATTTTAATCACAACGAGAGTAAGATGGGTTCTATATCACCAATGTATTTATTCAGGTCGTGTTGTTTACAAACAAACAAAAGGTTCTGTAAATAAAATATTTAACAAATAATTCACAGACAAACACACATACACAAACATAGCATAAAACACTGAATATTCTGCTCAAGGAAATAATTCCATTTTCCTTATAACTTTCAAAGATCATAAATATCTTTTCATGCATTATATTATATGCAAATTCATTACCATAGAATAATTCACTTTTCTCTATAAGCATCTCTATTCATTGTATCCAAAGAAAATTCTATTTACAACACAAATAGACATCACAATATACACAAACTTCACTAGACACAAATCTTACCAAATATATGGTATATGAACCTGATCTGTAAACCGGGTATTCCCTTCTCAGTCAGTCATAGCTATAATAAATTATCACAAAGTAAGTCTGACTGATTATTAACAAAATATATAAAACTCATGAAAAATAACTCTTTACTCAAATCTCATTCACATAACTTTCACACTGCATGCTCATAATTAATAATGTTAAAAATGTTAATAAACTGACCTGTTTAGTATATTGTCCAATGTCCATAAGGTCTAATTCAGAATAGTCAAAACTGTAGAAATCAATAAATTATTCTAGAATCAGTTAACACACTGCTCAATTCAAGGATCTTTTTGAAAGTGTCTAAAAATACTTCAGTAGTAAAGTTCTTACCAGAGTATCCAATCAAATACCTGGGTTCATCCATGCATGAATAGCATGCTTGACCAAAATGGGATATACTATGGAAAAGCCTTAGTGTAATAAATATATACAAACGCTCTTTCTTAATACTAAGTATGGAAACACATTATGGACAAAAATTAAAAACAATAATTCAAATGGGTTTTTATTAAGTAATACATTTATTGATAAAAACATGCGGTCACAAACTCATTCAGTCTCACGCCTATCATGAGCTTTCGGGAGAGTTCAAATACTAGTAGTTTGTGAAGCCTTTATTTTCCTTTTTACATACCTTTAAAACTTTAGTGAAAATATATAACGTGTATTTATCAATACATTTTAAGTTATTTAAAGACATAAATTTGAGAAAGTGTCTGGATTATATCCCCCTTCCCCTATATAAGCCACCATTCTTCAAGAAGTATTATATGCAAATCAAACATAGCATTTCTGTATCAATCGCAACAAAATGCAAATCAAGTATAGCACAAACACCAGCAATGATTGAACATTTCATCAAATTCTATAATTATTAATTTCTGTTTAACTTCTTCTGACTGATAAATGTTTCTCTTGTGATTTTGAATGCCAATATGTTTTCAAAACTGTTAAAATCGCAATTATTTTATCAAAAATCAATAAATCTTGATTTCATGCAAATCACAAAAAGGATCCGAAAAAAGTATAGCAATCGCAAAAATATGTTGCAAACATATAATAGCATTGACTCAAAACAAGAATAGCTCAATTTTTAAAAAAAGCGTAATGTATAGAAATCAGATGATGTTTCGTGGGTGAATTGAGAAGAAAACCTATATACAATAACTTTTACAACAGAATATACTTTGAAAAAATTAAGAACAATTGAAATAATTCAAAATGAGTGAAAATAGCATTTTAACTTAGCAAATGAGAACGGTATCGAATTTCTAACATGTTTCAACTTAAAAATTTCCTCAAATATATTTACATTGATTCTACAAAGGTTTCATTAGTTTCCTAATTTTTCTTAAGGTTTCTTTTACCCTCTTTTGCTTGCAGAATTTTCTCTTTTTACCCATAATGCATCAGAGTACCCAAAGCAATATAGCTAGTGATCCAAATCAAGTAGATTTTCGATTAGCACTTTGTATACAGTGGTATATAGGCTACATAGAAATTGATGTTCAGTATCAAGGGAATATTATTCCGCAACGTGGTTTCCTTATTGTGAAAGACGTCAGTGATAGTGAAACCAGGAAGAGCAAGGAAGCTATACCTGTCTTATTGGCATGAATGTTCTTAGTGTTTGTAAGAATATTTTATCTACCTGTAACGTTCCGGTCGATGGAAATTTAAATGAAATATTCACAGTTAACAGAGTGTTCGATAGGGAAGTCATTCATGGATTCGCTCGAGTGAACGGAGCACTACCTGTTCGCATTCCAGCCAATACCGCTATTGTTGTCGAGTGTACGGGACCTCATATTCATGGTGACGTGGTTGTTGACCCCTTGATCAATGGAGGACACTTGCATAGAATCTTCAGGAATGTGCATACCTGTAATACCGTTACCAAAGGAAAATTATGGGTCAGGGTCGCAAACACCGGTGATGAGGATATTTATATCAAACCACGAACAATGATTGGCACTGCGTCTAAATGTTAAATTCAAAATGAAAATTCTTCTATTGAGTTCAACCGCATTGGAAGTGTGGAGGAAGTATTTGTTCAGAAGCGTCAAACTGAAAAAGATCCGTGCCCTGATGAAAAATTTCAGTTACCTGGAGACATTTATCAGCTTGATTGTAGTGATGAAGAAAAAGAACTGATCAGCTCGCTTTTCTGGAAATACAGTGAAATGTTTTCTAAAAAACGACGATGATATTGGATGTACCAGTACAGTGCAGCATCATATTCATCTTACAAATAATTAACCAGTTTCGCAGCAGTATCGTCGCATCCCTCCATCCCAATACGAGGAAGTAAAGCAACATATCCGAAAGCTCTTGGATAATGGTGTTATTCGTGAAAGTACAAGTCCTTTCGCTTCTCCAATCGTACTCGTGCAGAAGAAAGACAACTCTTTACGACTATGCGTAGATTACAGGAGACTAAACGAGAAAACAATCAAGGACAAATTCCCCCTACCAAGAGTGGAAGAAACTTTCGATGCTTTATATGGATCGTCTATATTTTCAACATTAGATCTTACTTCCGGTTACAATCAACTTGAAATTGCAGAAGAGGACATACAGAAAACAGCCTTTACTACTCCTTTTGGACTGTATGAATACTTGCGCATGCCATATGGTCTTAAAACGCACCTGCAACTTTTCAACGCCTGATGCAACATTGTTTCCGTGAAGAAGTTTTTAGAATTCTACTTGTATTCCTTGACGATATTATTGTTTTTTCAAAGTCAATACGTGAAAATGTTCAGCGTCTAGACAGAGTGTTTTCCATCTTACGTCAGCATGGACTTAAGTTGAAAATGAAAAAGTGTCAATTTTTCAAGCCTTCTGTGAAATATCTAGGTCATGTGGTCAGTGAACATGGAATTAGCACAGATGAGGATAAAATTAAGTGCATTCTGAACTGGAATATTCCACAAAATGTGAAGGAAGTTCAATCATTTCTTTGATTTGCGGGATATTACCGCCGATTTATAAAACATTTTTCGCAGATTGCAGAACCCCTTCTAGAAATCGCCAAGAAGAACGCTAAGCATCCTAAGACAACCTTCGGTGACAAATGGACAAAGGAATGTCAAGATTCGTTTGATCGATTAAAGTGTCTGTTGTCATCAGCACCGTTACTGGGATATGCTGACTTTTCATCCCCATTCATTTTGGAAACTGACGCTAGTGCACACGGACTTGGAGCCGTATAATCACAGAAACAAAATGGACGTACTGTGGTCATTGCTTATGCTACATGTAGCCGCTGTCTGAGACCTAATGAAAAATCATCAAAGACCATGTGCAGTCTGAAACTGGAACTTCTTGCACTCAAATGGAGTGTGACTGAAAAATTTCGAGACTACTTACTTGGAAATAAATTTGTCGTGTTCACAGACAAAAATCCCTTAAAGTATTTGTCATCAGCTAAACTCAGAGCACACAAACAGAAGTGGGCGTCACAGTTAGCAGACTTCGACTTTGAAATCAATTACCGTCCCGGTAAACAGAACACCAACGCTGATGTGTTATCCCGACTTTCATCGGACAGTGAAATTCTGAATCAGTGTATCGAAGGAACCAGCATACCATCAGATAAAAAAGCAGCTCAATCGTCTGTGATATTTATTGAGTCAACAGATGTTTCATACTGTGATACGTTCCCTAGTTATACGAGTGATGATCTTCAGGATTTACAATCTAAGGACCCTGTGATTGGAAAGTGCAGAGAATTTCTTGTGTCAAAATCTGTACCAAAACCATGTTTTGTGCGCAAACAAAATTAAAAAGTTCAGATTCTGCTACGTCAACTCAAAAACTTGGAAATTTGTGATGGTGTCATTCATAGACGGATTAGTGATCCGAAACTTGGTGACCTGAATCAAATTGTTCTTCCTGTGTGTCTCAAAGACGTTGTACTGCAGAGTTTGCACGACGAGAATGGACATCAGGGAATCGAACACTACTGGACGAAAAAAGTGCTGAGAATCCCAAATTTTACTGATAAAGTTTGATAATTACTGATACTGTGCTGTTGTTGCTGATAAATACTGATATTTACTGTTATTATTACTGTTGTTGCTGATATTTTTTGTTGTTTCTGATAAATACTGATAATTACTGTTGACTTTTACTGTTGAGTCTGATAATTATAAATACTGATAAATACTGTTGAGGTACTGTCGTTGCTGAGAATTGCTGATAATTACTGTTGAGGTACTGTCGATGCTGAGATTTACTGATAATTACTGTGGTCATTGTTTTTAACCTGGTAATTGGTTTAAAATAAAACAAAGGGCTATAAAAACCTTCAATTATTACTTTCTTTTACTTGAATTATCAGGACAAAATTTTCATATTTCTTTAAATGTTCTGCTTGTGACAAAATTACATGACTGTATGTATTTATGCCGATCTCAATTTCTACTATTAAATTTGTGAAAATTTTGACAATAATCAAATGAATTATTAATAGAATGAATATATAGAAATAGAATTAATAAAAAAAAATTAACTGAAGAAAAAAAATGGAATTTTACTTTTGCATAAGATCTTCTTGAAAAATAAACTGTAAATAAAAAGAAAATTATGCCATCTTAAAAAAGATCCATCGCCGCCTTTCCCGACTCCAAGAAAATTATGTAGGGAGATCGGTGATCTTTTTTTCAATAATAAGAAAAAAGTTCTTAAACACCCAATTTTATGTTAACGCCCCCAAAATCTACCTGATTGAAGATCAATAATTTACCGCCTGTCAATCATTAAAAAAACAATAGCTTCTGATTTGATTGACAGCTCAGCTACCTGTGCTTTTTGATTATCCGAGTTTGCATGTTTTAAAAACAATTACCTGGTCACGCGTCAAACGCTTTCATGTACCCGCATAGTATACACGCGTATTAGAAAACTCCAGTATGTTTGAATTTTATTTAAAAAAATAATTGAAAGTAGATTATTAAAACATTGACATAATAAAATATTTCTTTTCTATCTTCATTGCTGTTTGTTACTTGTAAGTGTTATATCGTGCACGTTTATATGTAGAAAAAAAGACCGCGTCCACAGAAACCGGCTATAATTGCTGTAATTAAAAGTCCGACGAATTAAATTATTTTTTAAGAAATGGGATATACGAAAAATATTCAGCACTGATAAACGGCATAGCATAGTTTTTAAAAGATGTTTTATTTTGTACTATGGCTACAATTCGAACGATTTTGTACAGAAATTGATGTCAGAATTAATGCTCGAATTTCCTCTAGCATCTGTATATATACGTAATGAAAATGTGAAGGTAATTAATAGTGACCGATTCTGAAAAGAAGTCTTTCTAACAATAAAATTTTGTTAACACACGAAGAATAAAAAATATGGAATATTTTCGACAACATTGTTGGCCATAAAAAATACATTCCGATCGCGGTAAATGCATGTTCACATGCACGACGAATAGGTGGTTCAATATTTTTTTTATTTCAATAGTCAGACTTTCTAAATCAATTGATTTCTTTTATTGAAGATTAAAAAAGATAAATATTAT